CCGTCCCCCGACTCCCAGCGTCCTGTGACCGAGAGTGCGGAGCTACATCCAACCACCGAGACCCTCGCCTTCCTGTCCCTCCCCCCGCCCCGCCCACCGCCAGATACCGAGAATGACACCCGGCAACCAGGACAGGAGAAGTGGGACTGTGCAGAGTCCATACATACAGAATAGGGACAGATACCGAGAATGACACCCGGCATCCGGGACAGGAGAAGTGGGACTGTGCAGAGTCCATACATACAGAATGGGGACAGATACCAAGAATGACACCCGGCATCCGGGACAGGAGAAGTGGGACTGTGCAGAGTCCATACATATGGTATAAGGACAGATACGAGAATGACACCCGGCATCCAGGACAGGAGAAGTGGGACTGTGCATGGTCCATACATACAGAATGGGGACAGATACCGAGAATGACACCCGGCATCCGGGACAGGAGAAGTGGGACTGTGCATGGTCCATACATACAGAATGGGGACAGATACCGAGAATGACACCCGGCATCCGGGACAGGAGAAGTGGGACTGTGCAGAGTCCATACATACAGAATGGGGACAGATACCAAGAATGACACCCGGCATCCGGGACAGGAGAAGTGGGACTGTGCAGAGTCCATACATACTGAATGGGGACAGATACCGAGAATGACACCCGGCATCCGGGACAGGAGAAGTGGGACTGTGCAGAGTCCATACATACAGAATGGGGACAGATACTGAGAATGACACCCGGCATCCGGGACAGGAGAAGTGGGACTGTGCAGAGTCCATACATACAGAATGGGGACAGATACCGAGAATGACACCCGGCATCCGGGACAGGAGGAGTGGGACTGTGCAGAGTCCATACATACTGAATGGGGACAGATACCGAGAATGACACCCGGCATCCAGGACAGGAGAAGTGGGACTGTGCAGAGTCCATACATACAGAATGGGGACAATACCGAGAATGACACCCGGCATCCGGGACAGGAGAAGTGGGACTGTGCATGGTCCATACATACAGAATGGGGACAGATACCGAGAATGACACCCGGCATCCGGGACAGGAGAAGTGGGACTGTGCAGAGTCCATACATACAGAATGGGGACAGATACCGAGAATGACACCCGGCATCCGGGACAGGAGAAGTGGGACTGTGCAGAGTCCATACATATGGTATAAGGACAGATACGAGAATGACACCCGGCATCCAGGACAGGAGAAGTGGGACTGTGCATGGTCCATACATACAGAATGGGGACAGATACCGAGAATGACACCCGGCATCCGGGACAGGAGAAGTGGGACTGTGCATGGTCCATACATACAGAATGGGGACAGATACCGAGAATGACACCCGGCATCCGGGACAGGAGAAGTGGGACTGTGCAGAGTCCATACATACAGAATGGGGACAGATACCAAGAATGACACCCGGCATCCGGGACAGGAGAAGTGGGACTGTGCAGAGTCCATACATACTGAATGGGGACAGATACCGAGAATGACACCCGGCATCCGGGACAGAGAGAAGTGGGACTGTGCAGAGTCCATACATACAGAATGGGGACAGATACTGAGAATGACACCCGGCATCCGGGACAGGAGAAGTGGGACTGTGCAGAGTCCATACATACAGAATGGGGACAGATACCGAGAATGACACCCGGCATCCGGGACAGGAGGAGTGGGACTGTGCAGAGTCCATACATACTGAATGGGGACAGATACCGAGAATGACACCCGGCATCCAGGACAGGAGAAGTGGGACTGTGCAGAGTCCATACATACAGAATGGGGACAATACCGAGAATGACACCCGGCATCCGGGACAGGAGAAGTGGGACTGTGCATGGTCCATACATACAGAATGGGGACAGATACCGAGAATGACACCCGGCATCCGGGACAGGAGAAGTGGGACTGTGCAGAGTCCATGCATATACCGAGATCTATGTTGGACGCAGTGTGACGATGGTTGCACGGTCTCGGTGTACGCGTTGGTCGGTCTCGGTCGGCTCACAAGGGGTTACATCCATTCCTGGTATGGACTTCCTTCCCTCTCAGACTTCCTCAGGAGATAAGGGGACAGCCTGGCGCCTGAACTGGCCGCCTCCCCACTGCTGGCGTCCTAAGGGGCCCCTCCACGGCGCACAGCGAGGGCCACAGACCAGCGTCATCTGAAGATCGATCTGTGATCACCCCCCCCCCCCCCGGGGGACCGCGGGACTCAGAGAAAACGATCGTCCTGACTGGGAGTGCAACACCCCAACGCACCGCAGAACATCGCGCCTCCCCGCCACACACAGGGATGAACCGTCGTCTGTTTGTTACATTTCAATAAAGTTAAAAAAGAAACATTGTATAAGATCAACACTAAACATATATATACATGGCTCCGCCCCTCTCCACAGATCCATATTAATATATTCTGCAGATTATTCCACCAATGACCTCTTTAGAGATCTGCAGAACATCGCTCCGTCCCCTCCCCCTCCTGACAGTTCCATATTCTACAGACTATCTCACCACGGACCCCTCTAGAGATCTGCAGAACATCACTCCCTCCCCTCCCCCTCCTGACAGATCCATATTGAGATACTCTGCAGATTATTCCACCACTGACCCCTCTAGAGATCTGCAGAACATCGCTCCCTCCCCTCCCCCTCCTGACAGATCCATATTCTGCAGACTATCTCACCACGGACCCCTCTAGAGATCTGCAGAACATCACTCCATCCCCTCCCCCTCTAGAGATCCATATTCTGCAGATTATCTCACCACGGACCCCTCTAGAGATCTGCAGAACATCGCTCCATCCCCTCCCCCTCCTGACAGATCCATATTCTGCAGATTATCTCACCACGGACCCCTCTAGAGATCTGCAGAACATCACTCCATCCCCTCCCCCTCCTGACAGATCCATATTCTGCAGATTATCTCACCACGGACCCCTCTAGAGATCTGCAGAACATCACTCCATCCCCTCCCCCTCCTGACAGATCCATATTCTGCAGATTATTCCACCACTGACCCCCAGGGAGGCCTGCAGATGGTTGCTCTGTATATGGGGGGGGGGGCTGTGCTCTCTCTGGCTGTAGATAAGATCCTGGTCTCTGGGAGGAGGAAGTTGCAGTCAGACTGGCTGGAGCGGGGTTGCGGGGTGGGGGGGGGAGCAGGGGGTGGGGGGGTCGTTCTCGGCTCCCATTATCAGTGTGTGAGCGCGTCTGTTTGTCCGTCCGTCTGTCTGCACCATTCTGATTACCCAGCAGAAGTATGCGACGCTCTGCGGGAAATGTCACCGATCTGGCGTGTTCACATCTCACACATTGCGCCAAGTATGGGGCCCCCGGCATGGACTGTAGTGGCCCCCCAGTCTCAGTCCGGCCATACATGGTTCCAATCCCGAACGATTTTTCGTCTGAAAATCGAGAACTTTCCTCGGTCATCCGATGGCGCCATCAGTGAAGATCGTCCGACCGAAACGTCTCCCCGTATAACGGCCGGAACTTCTGCTCCTCCCGGGACGCCGAACCATCGTACAATCTGACGTCACTGAGCTGAAAATCGGGCGGTTTGCATGAATTCTCCAACATGGCCGATCACCGATGGAGCGATGTTCTGCAGATCTCTAGAGGGGGCAGTGATGGGATAATCTGCAGAATATGGATCTGTCAGGAGGGGGAGGGGAGGGAGCGATGTTCTGCAGATCTCTAGAGGGGGCAGTGATGGGATAATCTGCAGAATATGGATCTGTCAGGAGGGGGAGGGGACGGAGCGATGTTCTGCAGATCTCTAGAGGGTCAGTGATGGGATAATCTGCAGAATATATATGGGATCTGTCAGGAGGGGGAGGGGACGGAGCGATGTTCTGCAGATCTCTAGAGGGGGCAGTGGTGGAATAATCTGCAGAATATATCAATATATGGGATCTGTCAGGAGGGGGAGGGGACGGAGCGATGTTCTGCAGATCTCTAGAGGGGCAGTGGTGCAACAATCTGCAGAATATATCAATATATGGATGTCAGGAGGGGGATGGGACGGAGGGATGTTCTGCAGATCTCTAGAGGGGTCAGTGGTTGGAATAATCTGCAGAATATATGTATATGCCCCTGATGACTGTCATATGTGACGAGGGCGTAGATGCAGTCAGGCTTCATGTTCTGCAGATCTCTAGAGAGGTCAGTGTTGGAATAATCTGCAGAATATATCAATATGGACATCAACATTGCTCCCTCCCATCCCCCTCCTGACAGATCCATATTGATAAAGTTGGGAGCATGAAATTGTCCAAAATGTTGTCCCTTCCCTGGAACTAGGGGGCCAAGTCCAACCCCTGAGGAACAACCCCCCACCATAATCCCCCTCCACCAAACTTTACACTTGGCACAATGCAGTCAGGCAACTACCGTTCTCCTGGCCAACCGCCAAACCCAGACACGTCCATCGGATTACCAGACAGAGAAGCGTGATTGGTCACTCCAGAGAACACGCCTCCTCTGCTCTAGAGTCCAGTGGCAGCATGCTTTACACCACGGCATCCGAACACTTTGCATTGCACTTGGTGATGGAAGGCTTGGATGCAGCTGCTCGGCCATGGAAACCCATTCCATGAAGCTCTCTACGCACTGTTGTTGGGCTCATCTGAAGGCCACACCAAGTTTGGAGGTCTTTAGCTATTGGCTCTGCAGACAGTTGGCGACTTCTGCGCACTGTGCGCTTCAGCATGCGCTGACCCCGCCCTGTCATGTGACGTGGCCTACCACTTGGTGGGCTGAGTGGCTGTTGTTCCCAGTGGCTTCCACTTTGTTATAATCCCACTAACAGTTGGTGGAATATTTAGTAGCCAGGAAATGTCATGGATGGACTTATTGCCCAGGTGGCCACCTATCACGGGACCACGCTTGGAGTCACTGAGCTCCTGAGAGCGACCCATTCTATCACCAATGTTTGTAGAAGCCGTCTGCATGCCTAGGGGCTTGATTGTATACACCTGTGTCCATGGGGGGGATTGGAACACCTGAATCACATGATATGGAGGGGATTGGAACACCCGAATCACATGATATGGAGGGGATTGGAACACCCGAATCACATGATATGGAGGGGATAGGAACACCTGAATCACATGATATGGAGGGGATTGGAACACCTGAATCACATGATATGGAGGGGATTGGAACACCTGAATCACATGATATGGAGGGGATTGGAACACCCGAATCACATGATATGGGAGGGGATTGGAACACCTGAATCACATGATATGGAGAGGATTGGAACACCTGAATCACACCTGGGAGGGGATGGAACACCTGAATCACATGATTTGGAGGGGATTGGAACACCTGAATCACATGATATGGAGGGGATTGGAACACCTGAATCACATGATTGGGAGGGGATTGGAACACCTGAATCAGGTGATATGGAGGGGATTGGAACACCTGAATCACATGATATGGGGGGATTGGAACACCTGAATCACATGATTGGGAGGGGATTGGAACACCTGAATCACATGATATGGAGGGGATTGGAACACCTGAATCACATGATTAGGGGGGATTGGAACACCTGAATCACGTGATAGGGAGGGGATTGGAACACCTGAATCACACCTGATCACATGATAGGAGGGGATTGGAACATCTGAATCACATGATATGGATGGGATTGGGACACCTGGATCACATGATATGGAGGGGATTGGAACACCTGAATCACATGATTAGGAGGGGATTGGAACATCTGAATCACATGGTATGGAGGGGATTGGAACATCTGAATCACATGATATGGAGGGGATTGGAACACCTGAATCACATGATTGGGAGGGGATTGGAACACCTGAATCACATGATTGGGAGGGGATTGGAACAGCTGAATCACATGATATGGAGGGGATTGGAACACCTGAATCACATGATATGGATGGGATTGGGACACCTGGATCACATGATATGGAGGGGATTGGAACACCTGGATCACATGATATGGAGGGGATTGGAACACCTGAATCACATGATATGGAGGGGCGGGGTGAATAGTTTTGGATATATAGTGTAGGCCCAAGAGCAATGAGTCTGCAGCACATTACAACCCCGCAGGCTGTCCCTCTTTCAGTGCATCTCAAAGATGGAATAATCTGCAGAATGTATCAATATGGATCTCTCGGGGGGGGGGAGGGGAGGGGGCGATGTTCTGCCGATGATCTCTCGGTGTGACATGTTGCGCTCCCCTCCTTGTTTTGCTCTCTATTTCTCAGGAATGTTCTCTGCATTGTCTCATCACGCAGCGTTTCCTGTCCTCAGCGCCACCAGACAAGGAGATCCCAACAAACACGGATGAACGTCAGAGATACAATGTGCACCGAGCTCAGCGACACCGACACCGCGACTACAATACACCTCCCATCAATGGACTCCACACCGACCTAGAGGAGGACATGTAACCCCATCCAGACCCTGATCCAGGGACAGACCTGTATGGGGGGATCGGGACCTCCTTCCTCCTGCCGGTGACCCCTCTAGTGATAGATCTATATAGAGCAGCGGTTCTCAACCTGGGGGTCGGGGCCCCTTTGGGGGTCGGGGCCCCTTTGGGGGTCGAATGACGCTTCCACAGGGGTCGCCTAAGACCATCGGAAAACACATATTTCCGATGGTCTTAGGAGCCGAGACACCGCTCCTCGCCTCCGCCGTCTCCAGGTGTGGGCGGGATGACATGCCGCCCCTGTCATCTGGACACACCTCGAGATCAATCCTCGCCTGTGATTGGCCGCCGGCACTGTAGCTCAGGAGAGGCACACAGGCGGCCAATCACTGGCAAGGAGGTGGAGCTTGGAGAGGAGGAGCCGAGCGGCACCGCGAAGATCGAGCGAGTGAAGAGGAGGAGAGCGGCCGGAGAAGGAAGACAGCTGACAGGTAAGTGTCTGGTACCATGGGAGAGGGGGGGAGGGAGGAGCGAGCCCAGGCTGGAGCAGGGGTCTGCAAGGTAAGTATCATTGGTGTCAGTGGGGGAATAGTGCCCCATCATTGGTGTCACTAATACCAACGATGGGACACTATTCCCACTGACACCAATGATGGGGCACTATTCCTCCCACTGACACCAATGATGGGGCACTATTCCCCCACTGACACCAATGATGGGGCACTATTCCTCCCACTGACACCAATGATGGGGCACTATTCCCTCCCACTGACACCAATGATGAGGCACTATTCCTCCCACTGACACCAATGATGGGGCACTATTCCCCCACTGACACCAATGATGGGGCACTATTCCTCCCACTGACACCAATGATGGGACACTATTCCTCCCACTGACACCAATGATGGGGCACTATTCCTCCCACTGACACCAATGATGGGGCACTATTCCTCCCACTGACACCAATGATGAGGCACTGTTCCTCCCACTGACACCAATGATGGGGCACTATTCCTCCCACTGACACCAATGATGGGGCACTATTCCTCCCACTGACACCAATGATGGGACACTATTCCTCCCACTGACACCAATGACGGGGCACTATTCCTCCCACTGACACCAATGATGGGGCACTATTCCTCCCACTGACACCAATGACGGGGCACTATTCCTCCACTGACACCAATGATGGGGCACTATTCCCCCCACTGCAAAATTACAGTTATGAAGTAGCAACGAAAATAATTTTATGGTTGGGGGTCACCACAACATGAGGAACTGTATTAAGGGGTCGCGGCATTAGAAAGGTTGAGAACCACTGCTATAGGGGAATCAGGACCTCCTTCCTCCTGCCGGTGACCCCTCTAGTGATAGGATCTGTATGGGGGAATCAGGACCTCCTTCCTCCCCCGGGGACCCCCCTAGTGATAGGATCTGTATGGGGGGATCAGGACCTCCTTCCTCCCCGGGGACCCCCCTAGTGATAGGATCTGTATGGGGGGATCAGGACCTCCTTCCTCCCCGGGGGACCCCCCTAGTGATAGGATCTGTATGGGGGGATCAGGACCTCCTTCCTCCCCAGGTGACCCCTCTAGTGATAGGATCTGTATGGGGGGATCAGGACCTCCTTCCTCCCCGGGGACCCCCCTAGTGATAGGATCTGTATGGGGGGATCAGGACCTCCTTCCTCCCCGGGGACCCCTCTAGTGATAGGATCTGTATGGGGGGATCAGGACCTCCTTTCCTCCCCGGGGACCCCCCTAGTGATAGGATCTGTATGGGGGGATCAGGACCTCCTTCCTCCTGCCGGTGACCCCTCTAGTGATAGGATCTGTATGGGGGGATCAGGACCTCCTTCCTCCCCGGGGACCCCCCTAGTGATAGGATCTGTATGGGGGGATCAGGACCTCCTTCCTCCCCAGGTGACCCCTCTAGTGATTCTCTATGTATGGACTGTAGGGCCCCCCCGGGGTCAGTGGTGTCCCCAGTCGGACCCCTCTAGTGCAGTGATCTGTCACGGGGTTGAGTGATTGGCGCGTCGCCCGCCTGCCTGTCCGGGGTCGTCCCTCTATACAAAGCGTGCATTTCCTCAGATTTCAGTGTTTAGGTTTCGCTTATCATGAGCCGCCCACCTATTCCCCCCTCCCCCTCCCCGCCATGTTGTGTGAGTGAGGAGGGCCGGACCCCCAGATTGTTCACAACATCCTCCTCCCGGCCCCCCACATCCTGTCAGCGCGGCGACCTCCGAGTCAGTCTGGGGACATTGCGCTTTATTTAGACTTCTGTCACAATGCCCCCCCCCCTCCCCCCCGGGTCCCGGGGCCCTTTGTAGACCATTAATAAAACTCAGAGAGGAAATCTCCATCTCCCCCCCCCCCAGGAGGACGCGTCTGACCCAAAATATTCCTCCTCACTCCGCCACTGAGATCGATTCCAGGAGCTGACAGTCTGAGACCCTGACCCCAGGAGCTGACAGTCATGGACCCCGACCCCCTGACAGTCTATGAGACCCCCCCCAGGAGCTGACAGTCTATGAGACCCCGACCCCAGGAGCTGACAGTCTACGAGACCCTGACCCCAGGAGCTGACAGTCTATGAGACCCCGACCCCAGGAGCTGACCTTCTATGAGACCCCGACCCCAGGAGTGACAGTCTATGAGGGGGACCCAGGACCTGACAGTCTACGAGACCCTGACCCCTCTAGCTGACAGTCTGAGACCCCGACCCCCAGGAGCTGACAGTCTAATGACACCCTGACCCCCTAGTGATAGGATCTGTATGGGGGGATCAGGGGGAGCTGACAGATCTGTATGAGACCTCCTTCCCCAGGGCTGACAGTCTATGAGACCCTGACCCCAGGAGCTGACAGTCTACGAGACCCTGACCCCAGGAGCTGACCCCCCGACCCCAGGAGCTGACAGACCTAATCCACCCTCCCCAGGAGCTGACAGTCTACGAGACCCTGACCTGTAGGAGCTGACAGTCTAATGACCTCCTGACCCCAGGAGCTGACAGTCTGAGACCCCGACCCCAGGAGCTGATCAGTCTATGAGGGGGACCCAGGAGCTCCTTCCTGACCCCGGTGACCCCAGGAGCTGACAGTCTGAGACCCCGACCCCAGGACCTCCTGACAGTCTAATGACACCCTGACCCCCAGGATAGGATCAGTCTACGAGACCCGACCCCAGGAGCTGACAGTCTACGAGACCCTGACCCCAGGAGCTCCTTTCAGTCTACTGAGACCCTGACCCCAGGAGCTGACAGTCTACGATCAGGACCCTGACCCCAGGAGCTGACAGATCTCTATGATGACCTCCTTCCTCCCCTGACCCCCCAGGATAGGACAGTCTAATGACAGGACCCTCCCCTGACCCCAGGAGCTGACAGACCTATAAGTGAGACCCCGACCCCAATCAGCTGACAGTCTATAATGAGGACCCCGACCCCAGGAGCTGACAGATCTGTATGAGACCCAGGACCCCAGGAGCTGACAGTCTATGAGACCCCGACCCCAGGAGCTGACAGTCTGAGACCCTGACCCCAGGAGCTGACATCATGAGACCCCGACCCCAGGAGCTGACAGTCTATGAGGACCCTGACCCCAGGAGCTGACAGTCTACGAGACCCTGACCCCAGGAGCTGACAGTCTACGAGACCCTGACCCCAGGAGCTGACAGTCTGAGACCCCGACCCCAGGAGCTGACAGTCCTAATGACACCCTGACCCCAGGAGCTGACAGTCTACGAGACCCCCGACCCCAGGAGCTGACAGTCTACGAGACCCTGACCCTAGGAGCTGACAGTCTAATGACTCCCCTGACCCCAGGAGCTGACAGTCTGAGACCCCGAGTCCCCCAGGAGCTGACAGTCTAATGACACCCTGACCCCAGGAGCTGACAGTCTACGAGACCCCGACCCCAGGAGCTGACAGTCTACGAGACCCTGACCCCAGGAGCTGACAGTCTACGAGACCCTGACCCCAGGAGCTGACAGTCTATGTGAGCCCTGACCCCATTGGAGCTGACAGTCTAATGAGACCCTGACCCCAGGAGTCTGACAGTCTATAATGAGACCCCGACCCAGGAGCTGACAGTCTATAATGAGACCCCGACCCCAGGAGCTGACAGTCTATGAGACCCTGACCCCAGGAGCTGACAGTCTATGAGACCCTGACCCCAGGAGCTGACAGTCTATGAGACCCCGACCCCAGGAGCTGACAGTCTATGAGACCCTGACCCAGGAGCTGGCAGTCTATGAGACCCTGACCCCCAGGAGCTGACAGTCTATGAGACCCCGACCCCAGGAGCTGACAGTCTATGATGAGACCCTGACCCCAGGAGCTCCCCAGTCTACGAGACCCTGACCCCAGGAGCTGACAGTCTACGAGACCCTGACCCCAGGAGCTGACAGTCTATGATGAGGCCCTGACCCCAGGGAGCTGACAGTCTAATGAGACCCGACCCCAGGAGCTGACAGTCTATAATGAGACCCCGACCCCAG